AGTCGTGGGTGATTCGGATGTTGCACAGGACAGTTTGGGGGTCACTGGGGCAGTCTGGAACTTGCACGGGGTAGTTTGTGGGGTTTCGGGGCCCTGGAGTGGCATTTTTGGGGTGTAACCCTCCAGTTTTGGTTGTAGGGGGAGTTCTGCATGGAGGCGGTGCGCGAAGGCCTGGTGGTGGCCTTTGTGCGCTGGCTCTGCCGCACCGCCCGGGGCTTTGCTGACGGTCCAGCTGAGCGGGGGGCCCCTGCGGCACCCCCGGCCCTGCTGCTGCTCCTTGCCCGCCTCTGTCTTGATTATGAGGCCACCACCATCAGCTACATCCTCACTCTCACCGATGAGCAGTTTCCCCCCGAGGTGAGCCCCTAAAGTGCCCCAGTTGGCCTCAGAATGGCCTCAAGGGGACCCTGAATGTCCCCAAGATGTCACAAAATGGCTCTGCATCGTTCTGTGTCCCAGCATCCATTCAGGACACACTGGTGGGTACCATGGTGTGCGTGGAGGCATGGGGATCTTCCTTCTGTTTGTGCCCCTAAAACATCCCTGAGTGGACCCAAAATGGTCTGATTGTCCCCAGAATGTCCCCAAGGTGGTCCCAGCTGGCCCTATGGGACCTCAAATGGCCCCAAGTTCCTCTGTGGCCCTGTGTTCACCCAGGATGTGGTGGTGGGGACAATGGCACGTGTGGAGGTATGAGGATCTTCCATTTGTCTTTGTGTGCCCTTAAAAGTCCTTGGGGGACCCAAAATGCCCCCAAGTCCCTCCCTGTGCCCTGCTGTCTCCCCATGTCCATCCAGGATATGACCCTGGGGATGGCAATGCACATGGAGGCAGAAGGGTCCTTGCTTGTGCCAGTGTCTCTGACATGTCCCCAAGGGCATCTCAACATGTCCCCAGGGGGCTTCTGCGTGTCCCCGAGTCCCCCCAGGTGCCCCAAGGACATGAGGATGGCATGATGCTCCTGCAGGTGGGGTGGCCTGGAGAGCATCCCGTGTGTCCCGATGCCCCTGTGCCCCCAGGACATCAGATGGTGGAGGCATGGGGGGCATCCCCACGTGTCCCCATGTCCCTTGTATCCCCAGGCCACAGGCCCAGTGGAGACGGTGGGGACAGTACTGTGTGCGGAGGGGCGGGGGGCATTCCTACATATCTCTGTGTCCTCGCACCCCCAGGACACAGGCCCAGCAGTGACACCGGGACCGGCACTGTGTGCAGAGGCGCGAGGGGCGGCGCAGCGGCTGCTCGACCAC